TTGAGGGTGCTTAACACAGCTGAGTGCTGGCAGACGATACAGGATAACATGCACGACTATCGTAGACTACAGGCTTGCTTCCTCCTAATCAAGTCAACTCTCTCTTATGACGTGACGTCGTCAAATTCATTTCGAACATGATGCGTTTGCTGTTGGGCTTACTCAAAAATTCTCTACACACCGGTGCAGAAGTCTCATTTCTTACAAACACCCCGCTACAATAAAAAATAGCAACTATCCAGCTATTTGTGACGCCTGGTCTAATCACAAAAAGTGCTACCTCGGCATTGGAAAGGCTACGAGTCAATTTGTTCAGTGCTACTCGTACGAGTAGGAGCACTACAACTAGCAACTACAGTACTACACGTAGTCCTCTCATACTAGTAAATAGTCGAAAGACATTTATTTAGGAACTTACTTAAGTAGTGTGGAAGACGAAATGCCTTAACATGGTTATACGGTATTTTTGTATAAACTCCAGATTTATTTTACGCTTTGATCATGGGCAATAACATTTGAGAGTCGAAAAACTGTAGTAGTATATTCTTATTCTTTACTGCTCCCGGCGTTGGCGCTTCGCTCATGGTGTTCTTCTGGATAACATGCTTTACCCATTGTACTGGGATTGATCGGGCCCCGACACGCCGGTTGGTGGAAAATCATTGTCAGCCTCAATTGCCAACTTTCGTTCGCCGTGGTTTTGGTTCTCGCTCTCACCACGGACAAGGTTGGTGTCATAACCGATGCAGGCAGCCACGAACAGGGCAAATAAAAAGCTTAGACGCATTCTTTTTGGAGAGTTGTCGACGCAGGGCTCGTGCCTCAGCCTGGAGAATGGCAAGACGATCTGGTGGACGAGAGCAACGTACGCGACTTGATCGAGTGTGCTCCGTGGGAGATACTTGCTGCCCCGATGGAACCTCTCACGTTCAAAGGTCGGGGTTGGTTCCGTCACATGATGCGAATTTACGCTTCTTACGAGGATGAGCATCTTCGGGCTTATTGGGATTCCACCCACGCCTTTCCGGTGAGCATCGCCAAGCATCGCCAAGCATCGCGCCAGTCGGTACTTGGAAGCGTTCTATACTGATCGCAAGCAGCGTCGATCCAGAGCCGGCGCCCGGTAGAAGTCGTTCCTTCCACAGGTGTTGCTCTGCTTTCTCCGGGGTACTGCGGCCTCGACTTGTTGCTGGATCCCTTCTTCCTGCATTTCCCTCGACCTGGCGAGGCAGGTGCCTGGTATCCTGGGGTCGAGGACGGAGTTGGTCCTGCAGATCTACTGGAGGCGTAGGCTATCACGGACGCGGCCGATCGTTGGCGCAACCACTATTGTGACGTGCCAGAGAATCACCCGGCGCTTGGGATCGCTCGCTTGCCTGGCAAGTTTATGCCTGCCTCTTCGTGATTACGTCCTGCCGTTATGTGTTAGGCAGCAACCCTGTAGCTTTCTGCGCCTGTCGGGC